ACCAAAAAATTGGAGTTTAAGTACTGGTGCCTATGCCTGCTGTAGTCGAGGCATCAGATTTGTGCACAATAGATTTATAAACTCCCAATCTGATGTAGGATTGTGTGGGTGTTCACATAATGTTTCATGATAGAAGTTTTGTCTTCTGAACAACATGAGAAGCCAGCTACTTGGAATCCCCACACAGAGTGCTATTATGGTGAGAATCGAGCTCTCAATTACTTAGGAGGTACCAGAATTAAAACGAGTTGTTGCACACCTGATTTAGTGAGTGCCAGTACTGCAACAGGTTTTAGCCACATGATCACCATACTGTGTTTCCCTCACACGACCTCTGACAGAAATGCATATGTAAATCCTATATATTATTAGGGGGCTTAACAGCACTAACAGCACTATGCTGTGTCTCACCACATTATTACAATTTTGCAAGCTTTTGCATATGCTACGTGACAACACTGGCTCTGCTAAACACTGTTCCTGAGATTACTGACATAGTTCTAGTAAAGGCATCCGTAGCAGTGCTATGGGCCAAACCTTGCCATTCTCAACTTCATTCAAATGCGCATTTTTAGCAGTTCAACACAGAGAAAGCATTGCATTTCACCTATGCAAGAAAGCAGCATTTGTCCCATTCATTTAGTTTAAGTCAAAAAAATAAGATTGTACCTGAGGTTTTCAGAGCTGAATTCTGATTCCAGGAAACGAAGGAACTGGTCTCGTCCTACTGGGTCCTTCAGCACCTCATCCATGGAGAAACCCCATCTTTTCACACGCTGCTGACTAGGTTCTTTGCTGTTTGGAAAGAGAAGGGAAAAACCAGATGGAATGTACATTTCTGCCTGCTGTCCGAGCAGCTGCTGCTGTTTCTGCTAAGCAGCAAAGGGAGGAAGATCATCAGATGAGATGGTGGGATTTTTCTTAACGTTTTGCAGAAATACAACTTAGCAAATAACACACAAAAAGAAGCTACGAAGACCAGGGTTATCATTAAAGCAACTGTACTATCTGGGTGCTATATATAAGGCAAATGAGAGAAACAGTGAATGATACGCAGAGCAATTTCTGGTAGTTTTCATGTAAAGAACAGCACACTGTATTTGAACAATTATTCATTACACACTTCTTGCATATCTCCTCAAATGTACTTTGGGATTTCTCGTATGTCAAGGCAGAAATTTGCCACAGTGTTCCTTGCACCACTTGTGAGCTCCAGAGCATCTCCTTGTGTCCCACACAGTGCTGGCTGGTCACTTGGAACTGGCTTCAGACTTTCCCACATTTGCATTAAAAAAGCAGTTTCACTAAGAAGTAGTGCAGACGAGGTTTCTAAAAATGATTACTGGTTTGTGGTATTTTATTTTTCACTGCCTCTGATTTTTGGATGCCCAAATCTTGGAAGACTAAAAAGCATCTCCCTCCTACCCTTCATGTTAATCAGACTCTTATTTTGTATCTCAGCTGGGACACTGAGATGCAAGGCACCCAAAATCACTAATAACCTTTCTCCTGAATTATTTCTTAATGCATCCCCACTTACATAAGCTGTTGTTTGAATTGCCAGACATGTTGCAGAGATGCCTATGGGGAGAGGCAATGCCTGGGAATCACAAGGATCCGGTGAGACAGTCCACATCAGAGTGTAATCTGGGCTCACAAAGTGTTTGAAAGCTTCTGGTGTGATGGCGTCATACTGTGAGACAACCATTAAAATGCAGCTCAGCTGCTCACATTTGTGACAGTGAAGCCATTGTTAACAGTACATATCTATTAAACTACACATCTTGTCATGTCCACAGTGATTCCTAATCCCAGAGCCTTAGGGGACAGTGGCGATCTGTGCTGAAGACCAAATAAGACAAAGGGGTAAATAAAATGCCCAGTTTGATTTCCTTTTGGTTTAAAGACTAAGCAAAATTGATGGACATGTCCTCACTTGAAGTGCAGAGCACTTGGGATGGCTCCTCCTGCACTCACCCAGCAGCCAGCACTGCAGATGCCAGCCTACCTGTTAAGTGAGCCAGCCTGGACCATAGGGACATGAAAGCCATGAATTTCCTGCTGAATCCAGAGATTTGTTGCTGCTCTTCTTGCTCCTGAACAATGTTCTAGCATGAAAAAACCCCACCAATGTGCTGTCTAAAATGGAAAGCTTTCTGTGGTGTTTTCTGAATCCAAAGTGCCATGAAGGATGAACTGCAGTGGCACAGGACTGTCCATACTCAGCAGCCTGTCTTACCATTAGAAGTGATAGGCTCTTCATTTTCTTGAGCAAGGGCTCTGCTCTCCTAACTGAGGAAACAGCTGTGCAGGCAACACAAGGGGATCTCAGGGATCATTTAATTATTCATCAGGTTGGAACTTGATACAGATGCAGTGAGTTCTTTTACAATAGAGGATAAAATAGAAATACAGAGCTGTTTATTCTTCTATCTCCTAACAATACAACTTTCTCTTTTTCATCAGCAGAATAATCACCTTCCTTAACTCTGAAATCACAGGCAGAAGCCAAGCATTTATTTTAAAGTCCTATAAAGGCCATGACATCAGACTAATTGTATTCTTCAGGGACATGGACATCTTTTCTGCGATTTCCAGCTACCCCAACAGATGCAGAAATCATGGATGCCTGGACTACTTTGTGGGTCAAGGTTCCTACAGAGAAGTATTGTGCAGGGACTGTATCTGGTTCTAGCCCTGCTAGGGAGAACGGAGAAAAGGAGAGATACTGACTAAAAAGGAAATCCAAGATATTAAAATGATGTGACAGAGGGCAGAGATTATGAAACTAATGGAATTCTGTGGCTTCCAGAGAAACAAGTGAAAATCTTTCACATCCCAGACCATGTGTTTTTTTAACAGGGAAAAAACTTGCCCTTCCCCTGGAACACTGCTTCACTATGAATTGGCTTTCTTAGGCTGGTAACATCCTCAAGTTTACAATATTATTCAAGAACAGACAGGATTAATTTGGCATTCTCTTTTCAAAGAAGTGAAGTCTCAGTTCAGATTTGGTCCTGAACAGCAGCAGCTAAACAAGAAGCCATTGAGCTCTTACAGTATTTGGCCACAGGATGCAAGTGAGCAGTGATGGTGATACATGGCATAGCGATTCCATTCAGACCTGCAGCGATTGGTGCTAGGTAAAGGGGCAGGCAGTACAATTTTAGCCCCACTACAAGGCCTGTGGATAGCCTGGGATAGCAAGAGATGTAGACACTGGCCAGACTCCCTTGCAGGAGCATTATATAGGCAAAAGATGATCTGAATTGCAGTGCTGTGCTCGCTTTTTTGTAGAAACTCTCTGAGTTGCCAGGCATTGGAGCTCCTACAGTCATTCCTCCTCCTTTTCATCTATTAGACACCGTAACAGAGACAAGCTAGCTTGTTCACTAACAGGTGAGGCCCCTAACTCACTTTGTTCATCTATTACAATTCTGACCTGGCAAGTCTCACACATTATGCGTGAGCTACACTCCTCTGGCTCCTGTGCCAGATATACCTCCACACAGCAGGAACGGCCACTCTCCTATAACCCATCCCATATCTTTCATGGGATACCAGGACAGGAGCAAGGCTGGAGCACTGCAGCAGAAGGAGGACTAGAGAAAAAGATCTCAAGGGTCAAAGGAAATGTGCTAAAACAGGTATCTTTTAACAGTACCTTATCTATGGACTCTCAAAACCTGAGTCTGCATGTCTTAAACAGGCATGAGAATGTCTGTTACCTGACTTACAGCATTTCACACATCAAGTCATGTGGCAGTAGAAGGGCTGAATAATTCCCAGAAGTGATAAAGCATAAGCTCCTGTTTAAACTTTAACTATGTACTCATATCTTGTCAAGTTACAGACATATAACTTCCTACCCAAACAGGGCAGTGGGGAGAGCACACAAACAAAATGGCAAGACAACTCTAACATTACTTAAAACTACCAATTCTTACCTCATTTCAATGTCCCACAATGCTGCATCATCACTTATCCAGGGATTGGAAGGCTCAGCAGGTGTTATAAAGGGGTCGTATTCCACATACTGCTCTGTGTAGGCTATTAAACTGACAAGTATAAAAAAAGAAAAAAAAAGAAAGGAAGGAAAAAAGAATCAGGTCCTGACTGCTCAGTCACACATCAGAGAGGCACGGCTTTGCCTTTTCTCTTTTTATTTGTTTCCTTTTATTTTTGTAGGGATTAGCCAGTTTCTCAGCCACCACAGCAGTCCCATTTCCCAGGGATGGTGCATGCCAGGGTTTCTCTGCAAACACCCACCAGTTCACTGCAGGATGTTCCTCAAATTTGCCTCTGTTGATATGCCCACAAAAAGCCCCATGAGGCAATAACTGGATTGCTAAGGTAGGATTTCCCCCACAAGAGCCACAGGATGACTATGAAATGCATGTCCTTCTGTTCATTTGCTGTGTGTTGGTATTGCCTCTTGCCCTTTTGTTTTTTTGCAGACTTTTATACCCAGTTAACTTTATGTGTTATGAGTAACACGTCTAAATAGGGTCAAGGGCTGTATATAAGAATATACTTAAATCTTCTGGAGTTCACAGACCTAAGCATCAATGCTTCAGGATATAGACCCTTTTTTTTCTTACTTTGGTATACCATTTAGTCTACTGCCACTGTTGTAAAACCCTTCAATGGCAGTTTATAATAATTAACTTAGAATGTAGTAAATTATTTGCATGCTGGAAATACACCTGGCCCTTCTACTGGCTTGTTTCATAACGAGTCAGATAAGACACATAACCTCTAATCCTCACTAGGATGAGATTCAAAGAGCTTCCTGGGAAAAGGGCTGTGTCTGCTTGCATAAGTGATTTCAGGAATTCCACTGGGGTTGGGGCTAGGGGCACTTTTTTTATAAAAGAGAGACAGCATATATAAAATAAATCAAAAGAAATTTATCCTAGTCTATATTGCAAATACTCTAAGGCACTTAAAATTTTTTGCCTAGGCCTGCCAAGTAATTAACTAAGTTAATTGAGTCTCATCAAACTGAACAACTAATCTACTTGCACTGTGACTGCCCATGCTAAACTTTACCTCTGGTCCTCCATATCTCAAAAAGGCAGGAGAATGAAAAGACCCTGTGAAACAAAGGGTCACAAAAGGCAGAAAGTTTCCCTGACCTGCTCTACAGTAATTATTTCTTTTTGTTTGTCCTAGCTCTTATCATAAGGCATTAAAATCATACACTTTTGTAACCACAGCAGGTTCCCATTGCCCCTCAGGGCACTGAGGGCTGTCTCATCTCATTTCATTAATTACATTTCATGACTGCTGTGGGTCAAGGGTTGGAGGAGGGAGCAGCGTCCAATTTCAGAGAGCAGCAGCAATCCCCGAGACATCAATGAGAGAGAGGGTTGCTTAGAAAAAACCCAACAAAAAGGATCAATCAGGAGGTATCTGCTGTGAAACCTGAATTGGTCCTAATAAAATAATAAGAAGGCATCAGAGATGGTAGTACAAGTACTAGCAAAAATAAAAGGGGAAAAACTAAATTAAATGAAACAAGGGGGAACTGCTAAGCACACTTTGCTGATTCAGTATAATGACAGCAGCAGAATCATTGTCTCATTGTCTAACGGAGGCTATAGGAGAGGGACTCCTAAGGGGAAAAAGCATTTCTGTCAAAATCCAAACCTGGGCTTTTGGGTTTTAAGGCAATGCACTGTAATTCTGTTAGAAGAGGTGGTGGGAAAAGTTCACTAAAGGGTGCAGAGCTTGCCTGAAGAACCCAGCTGTCTCACAATGAGGGGGCCCTGCTCAGCCTTTACAGTAACTTTGAGGATCTGAAAGGATAGCACAGATTTTCATCTAGGGAGCTGAGATTGCTTCTAGTAGGAAAATGCTCCGATTCTATGATTTTTCCCAGCCATTTCTGTGATGCCACATGTAGTGGAATTGTATTAATGCTGCACAATGCAGTCAGGGAAAAAAGTAGGTAGAATATATTGATCATTCTGCTCAACAGTTTTTGAATCTTATTGCTAAATCCTAAACCTGACAGTGTGCAGGTGCCAAGTGAGAAAGGATGTGGAAGAAAGGAGAAGAAAACCATTTCCAAGGTGCCTAGCACAGCTGACGGATGCCTGCTCCCACAGATGGTACAGATCTACTCCTGGAAGGAAAACAGGAAGGAGGTGGAAGAAAATCTTTAGTACAGGGCACGGATATTTCATGGGACCAGGGATAACCTATTGAGAGCCTTTCCATTTCTCTTTTACTGATCAAAGGCTTTCCCATAGAATAGCTTGAATTAATGGAAAATGTTTGTGATCGGTCTATTACAATACTTTATACTTTATTCCTACAGCATATTAGACAGCAGCTTGTTTCCCCACCACCCCCTGCCTTATTTTCTCCTCATGACTTCCCTCATCCTGCCTGGAAGTGCCTTTGTGCTGTGCTGCAAGAAATGGCAGGTGATGCCACTGTCAGGCTTGGCTGTTGAAAGGAGCATGCCAAGGAATCATCTCTTGCCCCCTTGATCTGACGAACTGTCACTAGTCCCAAAAGCAGGGTCCAGCCTGAAAAGTGACTTGCTAATAACAGCACCTCCTCACACAGCAGATTAGTTCCTGGCATTTTTTATTCAGCATTTTAGATGGGGCTTTCAGGCTGCACAGGTTTTTATTTCAGGCAACCATTCCACTGAGGTCATACATACTCGTTTCTCCTCACCTACCCCAACCCCTGCCAAGTCACTGAACTCATCAGTCCCTCTACTTCCCTCTTGCCTGCTATGTGATGCTCCACATCTAGACTGCACTTCCCATCACTCTCTGCACCAAGCCCTGGGACCATCCAGCAACACTGCCACTCAAAGTCATCATATAACCAAACACTTCTTCTCAAGATACAATTATCACAGCCATGATTTTCATTCTTTATAATTACAAATGAAACTTTCAAAACAAGAGAAAAGACATGGTTATTCTAATTTTATTTACTTTTCTCCTGGTTATCAATGTGACAGGTTTTAATAGCAACATTTTTTCTCCAATTTGGGACCAATAAAAAAAAGCCCAAAGCCTTTTCAAATCAGGAAAATTTTCTGTTCAGTTTTGTTTTGTTTTTTAGCATTGACATTACATTTATAATTTCAGTAGCTTCTTATGAACTTGAACAACAGTTGTGTTATATGAACAGACTTTGATGTTCAGGAATGAATGAGTTTTATTGAGTCCCTCTTATTGAATAAATACCTACATAGAAAAAAATTCAAGCAAACCAAAGCTGCTTGCTAGTAAATTAGCAGCCTGGAAATTATTACTGTCTCAGTATATTAAGGTCATTGTAGGTAAACTCAGTACAAAGTTACCTTTTTTGGTAAAGCAGAAATGTATCGTCTTAATGAAAAAGAACCAGAAAGCCCAAAACATAAATATGAATGTGCTAATTTCAATGATACAATATAGTGAATGCAGGATTTCAGGGAGCCTCTGAATATTTTCTATTTAATTGGATAAATTTTTGTTTTAATTGTTAAACTTTATGAGCCAATAGGAATCTACTTTGGGGCTCTTGCCATTTAATTTGCCTAGTTTAGTACACACCTGCTAATTACAGGTGTGAGCACCGCAAAACACATTTCACAGGGTAATCTCTTTTTAATTTGCTTAAATAAAAAATCCTCCATTATTTCTCTACGAGGCACCAGCCCTTATCATATCCTTCATGTTCACCACAGCTTTGTTCTAAAAGCAATGTTACTGAAGAGCATGTCAATCCCTATGCTTGTCTCAGTGATTCACCTGCAAATGTGCATAACTTAAAAGTACCTGAGGAGCTGTCACTCTCAATTAAATTTGAGCTTGTTCTTTACCTGTTCATACTTTCTGAACAGAATTAAATATTCTGCAAGTCAAATTGTGCCTTAATTTGCCTCTATGAGAAATCCACCTCTTAAATCACTGCTGCGAGTAGTCCAGGTACAACCCCAGTACCTCCCATAGGGTTTCATATATGTAAATGGGAGCAGAAACTGGCCCTACAACTCCAGTATGAACACGGACATGAACACCACTTGCAACAAGGTGCAAATGCAGCTCCTTTCCCAGATCTGTGCCAGGCTAACAAAAGCTAAGCTCTGAGAGTTCATCCACACAAGAAAAAAGAGAATTTTCAATTTGAAACAATAATGACTTTTCTGTAAATAAACTTTAGGGTTGTGAAGGGGAGGGAAACAAAAGTACTGCAATGGTTCTTCCTTTTGTGAATAATATTTCTTTTGCCTGTACAGTATGACTGTCCACTCTCTGTTGCTGGAAATGCCAAACTGGACATGAGAAAAGAATGGGAAATTGTGCAAACAGGCCACTCACCTTTCTGCTACTTTGGACATCTTTAAACAATGTCTCTCTATCTGCATGTTCAGAAAAGTTATCTGAGGAGAGAGATGACAAGGACATTAACAATCCAAGAGTTCTAGAACATACATTGATCATATCCCAACACACTATTGATTTTTGTTTCCAAACAGCTTGAAAGCAGCTCAGAAGGAAATGGGACCCTTCCCCAGGTATTAGAGGAAGCTTATTAACTGCTTCCAATAGGAGCCTCCGTTTCCAATGGCAGAGCCCCAGGGAAAGCTTCAGATGAAAGCTTTCATTAGGTCAGAAAACCTAAGGCCCAGTTAGAACTGAGTCTGGCCAGGAATATCAAAAATAAGAGGAAAGACTTCTATAGGTATGTCACAAACAAAAGACAGACCAAGGATAACGTGGGCCCTCTCCAGAAGGAAATGGGAGAACTGGCTACCCTTGATTTGGAGAAAGATGAGGTGCTCAATGATGTCTTTGTCTCAGTCTTCAGTGGCAAGTGCTCTGATCATGCCACCCAAGTCTTGGAAGGCAGATGCAAGGA